CTCGTATCGTTGATTTCTGTAGGTTGCACACAGTGGCAACGAGAAAGAATAAGGACTTGGTTACTCCGTAACTTGGAAGGTCGGAAAAATTGTAAGAGTACATTGCGAAGAATTTCGAAAAATTTTTTTCCTGCAGTGCGAACTCCCCGCGGTTCACTCAGAACCCCCACTGTTTGCAAAATAAGCGGTATGGGTGGGGAAATTGTTTTACAAGCCCAGCCGACTCTTAAAAAGTTAATTACAGCTTAGGACTAAAAAGACGCATAGCCCCATACCCAGATATCCGTACGCATGTGGCAAATGCACTTGTACGACAACCGGATGTTTTAGCTGAGTCGTACAGCGCACTGCGCCGTATGCGTTCGGAAAGCTGTTGGTGGGATTTTGCGTCTTTTTAGTCCTAAGATGTAAGTATATATACGCAGTTCAGTTGTTAACTTAAAGGCGGGACAAACGATGGCTAAGTTTAGCCGTACAGCAGCCCGTGTCGTAAATAGTAGACATTTACAGTTTTATTTCATAATATTGTCATAATTGTATGTTATTTCGAATACAGTGATGCTTTTAAATCAACTAAGTCTCGATGCTCACAGATCGCGCGCATAATTACTGGCAAAAACCTCCAGCAAAGCACAATAACCAATAGTAAGTCAGGTGAGGAAGGCCAGCCCTGACATCTACGTACGGAAAGATGTTAGAAATGTTTAAAACATGCTTTATATACCTATCTAGTTATATTACTTCAGAAATGCTCAACTACGCGGCGGCGTTACTAAGCATCCAGTTTTTTTATTTAGGTAGGTCACGCGCCCACAATGGAGGATCGATGTACACCTACCGTAGGTGTACATCGATCCTCCATTGTAGGCGCATCAGTTTTCATCGGGCTCAGTTATCCGGGTCTAAAATATGAGATAACTAAATAAAAAAACTAACAAAACACAAATAAGACGGTAGTCAGGCGACTACCGCACCGTTAGAAGAGAAAGCGTACTTACCAGCATTCCCATTTTGACCTCGGTCGGTCGCAGCAACCTCGGTCGCAGCGGCCTCGGTCTTTGCGATCGAAGCAACCTGGGTCGCAGCGACCTCGGTCTTTGCGATTGTTGGTAGCATAAGCGGTGGACCCGGCGTCTGGCGACGCTTCCAAATTATGGCCAGCACCGTGAAAAAATTCCGGCCGCGGTTCCGGTTGCGATGTATACGAGTGGATCCATTGCGTAGACGTTGCGATGTAGACGATGCTTTCTTGTGAAAAAAATTTGATATTAAGTTACTACAGGTGTAGTATGCGGTATAGCATGGTAAGTGTTTGCGGAAATGCTAATACACTCTGCACCTTATAGCCTTAAGAATACTGCTACGCTGCCCGATGAGGCCAGGCGGCAGTGGATAATCAGCACCAGCACCGTTTACACCGCACTGAGCTAAACTGGAGTATTGTGAACAAATGTTTCTTCGGCGAATTTATCATTTCCGTGCCCTGAAAGAATTTTATTACTTCACTGCCTGCACTTTTCGGCAGCGAAAGCCGTAAGAAAGCAGGCACTGATATTCAAAGAAAAAATGAATATCTGAGAAAGAAACCAGCTTACCGACTTGCTTGCAGGGATACTGCATGGATACGCACAATATACGTACTGGTAGTATGTTTTTGTTCTTAGTAATCGTTTAACAGCTTCCGCTTAAATGGATTTACTAGCAAAATCCAGGTGCGAGAATAACAAAATCTTTTACTCGCAGTCATTTTAAAACGCTTAACGGCATCCCAGAAAGTATTGGACCCAGAAAGTCTGCAGCAGCAGTTGTATCTGTCGATCAAAAACGCCAAGCAGCGTTATTTTGTGCAGAATCGCAAGAATTCTGCACTCGTTTGGCGCGAAATAAATAAGTTGCTAAACAAGACCAAACCTAATACCGATATCCCATTTGATTTGGACGAACTGAATGAAAAGTTTGCTAGTATTGGTGAGCATGGCATTGAGCCTACACCGGCCAGTGTGCCGGCCGAAGCCGCCTCCGCTGTTTTTGAATTCGAAACGGTTACGCCTGAAACTCAAAATCTTCCAAAAATTGTGTCCAAAAAGAGGAGCGCTGGCCCAACGGAATACCGCAACAACTCTTACATAAAATCTACCCGCTGTTAATCGTTCCGATGACCAATCTAATAAATCAATGGTTTGTTAAACAAACGTTTCCGACTATTTTTAAAATGGCAGACGTGATAGCCTTGCCAAAATGTTCCAACCCGACGTCGGCAAACGAGATGCGGCGAATCACGTTGCTGTGCAATCTGTCGAAAGTTTTTGAAAAAACCGCACAAATGCAGCTGGTAAAATTTTTAAAAGATCAGAACTTGTTGTCGCCAAACCAATCTGGGTTCCGCAACGGACATTCGTGCGAAACGCTACTGTTAAAAGTAACGGAAGCATGGAAAAATGCCGTCGACAAAAGAAAAGCTGTAGCGGTTTTGTTTCTTGATCTAAAAGCAGCATTTCCGTCGGTCTGCCACAATACATTGTTGATAAAACTTCGAGATATCGGAGTAAAATCATCAGCCTTGTCATGGTTTCTCTTACTTGACCGGCCGGCTACAGCGAGTCCGAGATGGTAATCGTCTGTCGAAATGGGTGGAAGTCAAAACGGGTGTCCCGCAAGGGTCGCTTTATAGCCCGAACCTATTCTCTGTTTATCTCAATGACTTTTGAAAACCCGATTCGGTGATATGCAACTAGAAAGCTTTGCTGACGACACTATCGGCTATGTCACGGCAGATACTAAAGTGGAAGCAGCAGCTAAGCTAGAAAGTGCACTCTCCGGAATTACCGGGTGGTTGAACGCTAACCACCTTGTCATTAATGAGAAAAAGTCAAAATTAATGTACATCTTTTCTTCGCGCAGTAGTGAGAAGATACGACCAGCAATCGTGCTAAATGGACATCAGCTCCAACCGGAAACATCCGTTAAGCACATGGGAGTAATAATTGATCAGCATCTAAAATGGACCGAACAGTTTACTAAGGTCCAAAAAGTGTTAGTCATGGAATTGCTCTCATAAATCGTGCGAAAGACGGTCTGTGCGACTCTGAGCGCATTGGACTTTTCTACGCGTTCGTCCAGTCTCGTCTGGACTACTGCTCTACAGTGTGGAGCAGCGCGTCTGCGTCTGTAGCCGGCAGATATATTGGCCTGTTTTCTGTTTGCGTCCTTGCGCGAGAAGCTTGCAGTAGCACACCGTAACGCTATTCGAGCCATTGCAAACTACCCGACAACGCCAGTGAATCTCCTGATTGACCGTTTTGGAATAATCCCACTGTTCACGCGATGGCGGCACCAGGAGGCCATTTGGTTGTACAAGATCAAACATCCGGTGCCGCACAACGTACCAGCGTACCTTACCGATATGTTTAACCTTGGAGAGAAAAGCAGGACGTACAGTTTGCGTAGCGCCAATCAACTGACCATCAGGACACGTGTGGCAACAAAATGCGGGGAAACAACGTTATCCTGGAGACTGGGCAAGCTTTTGGATAAAGTTAACCAAAGCGGCAGTAATATTCTTGAGCTACGTACACTTGGCTGTTTTAAAAGCGCTTTGTTCACGACTAAATTCTTTAACTAACTCTGAGTATGTCGGCTGTTTAGGTGTCTTTTAGGTGTCTGACTTTTCATGGATGTTAAATTGTGTTCTCCGTATTTCTCCAGCCAGGTTTAAAATCCCATGCTAGATGTCATCCTAGCCGGATATGGGTTACCTGCACTGACTCGAATTAAATTAGATTAATTAAATTATGCTGTTTGGAATTATTGGTTACAGAATCAGTACAGACTACTGTTCTCGAGCAGTTGGTTGGTTAACCCACTTTACAGCGCACGGTCTGCCGGCTGTTAGTGTGGTCGGCAGCGATGCTGACCGGAAGCTGGATACCGTTTATACAGGTGACAACGATGGGATTGCACGATCATCCCATGTAAGTAACGCTAGGACATCGCCAGAGTTCATTGGCAAGTGTACAATAAGATTCACCGAGCAAAACAAACTGATGAGCAGCATGACTCACCGTTGTTTATCGCGGGAATGAGTTGCCGGTCCCGCACACTGCACTACATCCTATTTTCTTCTTCATAGACTTATACAAATCATTTGGCTACAGAATGTCATAAACCGAAACAAAAAAGTTTTTGGATTGCACGAAAGTGAAAGTTTCCGTGTATGTACACGAATTTGGTACCATGTACCGGGCCACTTCCCTTAAGCGCGTCGCTCCGCGTGCAGTAGCCGGCATAAGTACCTTATGTACAATACATTGTACTTAAGGCCAGTTAGCGAATACATATAGCGTGTAATGTTACATGTTTGCGTCAACGCGCGAGACACACCTCTAGAGTCTAGATCTATTGGCGTTTATGGCCGATTTCCGCTGCTCCAACGCATTTCAGTAGTGATCAGTTCGACAACTCATTTCCGGTAAATTTGGGGATTCTGCCGAGTGACCCACAGATGACAGAGAACACTGCACAGGAGTCGGCTGCTGCTCACCGATGTCACGGTGTTCCGGTCGCCAATTATAATTATGACCTGTTCCCAATGAGCAGCCGCAAGGCGGAAAAGAAATGCTGTCTGCCGGGTCGATTTTGCCACTCTGCTGGACACAACAGTATCAACACAGCCACGTACCCTCTCGTTCACATTACTCAGCGTCATTCAGTCGACGGCAGATTTGGTTATTTTCTTGCTCCTGACCTCCAGCAGCCTCGGCGCTAATCCCTTATTCAGTAAACCACTTTGCAGAGCTGGTTGAATTACTGAATTACGTGCACAAGCTTACAGCACAGAATAATAATTGTGGGCATCTATTTGGTGCGAGCACACTGGGTAAAAATGTACTGCTTACGGCATAACTTCTAAAATGCCGTATGTCTATAAAGTTTTTCTCAGGTGCTGGCCACAACTCACCGTGCCGATCTTCATGGCACGGTGACAAACAACCGATTCCAAGAGAACGTTTTTCTTTACTTATTGTAACTCGAAGCACACTGAAAAAAATGAAAAAAACGGAACAACTTCAACGATGAAAATGTCATGTATTGTCAAGAAAGCTTTACTGGGCATCATCAGACAGCAACTATATCGCAATCATTCCAAATTGACCGAATACGCTGACCCATACGGCTCACGGTTTCCCGATTGTGAACCCACGAATGATGCGAGTCATCCATATGAACCAGCTGCACCAATTCTGCATCCAATAAAGTATCCAGGTGGTTGTATTCCGTCTGCATATAATGCGCATCCAGCAGCCGTTCCTCTTCGGTGGTAAACATGTTGCTTAACCGATTAGCTCGAAAGAGAATGATGTTCCTGACATTCCCCATTAGGTTGCGAAAGTCTGTTCTATCCCGGGTACAACGATAGTAAATGGAATCGAGGATGTACTTATCCGGGTAACCAATGCTACACCCTGCTGCCCGCACATCGAAATACGAATCAATAAACATCAGATTGTCAATTCTGTCTCCGTTCTGAGCTAACTGGCGGGCGACTTCCAGCGCCAACGTGCCACCAAAACTCCATCCCAGAAGATTGTAGGGTCCATAGGGTTGCAGTTGTTTCACGTAGCCAATATAGAATTTGGACAGCTCTTCAAAGGTCGTATCCGTTTTGCTTCGATACATGTAGTAGTTGTTAAAAAGAATTAGATTGAAGGCTTTTAGTTCTGGCGCCAAATTGTTCAGATAACTTTCGGCGCCTCCTTCTAAAGGGGGAAAGAAGAAAATCACGGGAGCGTTCTGGTTTCCGGAAAGGTCAATGTAAGGTTCAAATTCTGTCATTGCGTTCGTATCCAGGTTGATAAGTTGCTGAAGGGTTTCTCTGAAAGAAGAAGCCAGGCACTCGGTTATTTCGCTGTCCAGACGACTATTTATGGTGAAACGTATTTCGTCATTGGCACAAAGTCCTGAAATTTCGATGATGTCGTCGTTCGCAAAGTTGCTGTCAGCTGACGGATCATTCCCATAATCAGAGGTCATCTCCGTTAATGTCCAATCTGCCTCCTTATGATTGCTGAACCGGCCTAGGTAGTTAAAACAGATCTTCGGCAATGTACTGTTGTAACCAATGAGACTGCCGTATCCCAAGCCTTTGTTTGGAATGACCTTATGCAAATACTCGCTGACGCGAAGGAGCGTTTTTTTTAAACTGTCTCGTACATGCAAAGCCACAGGATACATTACTGTGAACCAGCCGACAGTCCGGCTAACATTCATATCGTTCCAGGGCTCCCTTCCATGACCTTGCAAGGTCACATAGTTAGTTTTTTCTTTGGTCGCACTTTGCAGGGCGTACGCTAGCGCTGTTAGCAATAAATCCCTGATTTCGAGCGTATTCAAGTTTCCTTCTCGTCGCAATAGGCGCTCCGTTTCTGTTTTGGACAAGCATATGGTGGTTCGATAAGCTTTTTCCCGGGCAGCCAATGGGGCCAGGATACGCTTGTTATACAATTCAGCCTCGCTGTACAGGTTTCTCCATAGGGTCTGTTCCGCTTCTGCGTTCTTGGCGTAGTCTTCGATAGCTTTGCTCCATTGCCGGTAACTGGTGAGTTTGTGGCCCAGATTTCCACCGTCGTAAAGGATTTTGAGGTCGTCAGAGATAATTCGCCAGCTGACGGTGTCGGCGATCAAGCGGTGCATCGCAAACCACACCCGCGCTGAACCATCAATGTAACCGTGCAAGTAACCTGCAGTGAAGCTTATATTACGTCACTGGATCTGGGAAAAAAGTCTGGAAAAATTCATAATTCTGCTGCCTTCAAATCCCCTCTTGTTAATGGATGCTGTTAAGCAGTAAGGGTGTGTCTTAATTTAATGGATTCTCCAAACACAATATACAGGTGTTGTTTTACTTTTACTTTTACGAATGCTACGACATAGTACGAACCAGTGTAGGTAAACAGTAACCGCAACACTTATGATCCTTACCAATGCTGAATATGGGACCGCTTGAAATGTCGAATTCGTTCTGCAAACGTAAAATGTTTTCCGGATTTGGACTATTTTCCACGGAAAGCACTTTGATCGGGACTTTTTCGGGTTTCAAATCGTAATTCTGTGTGATTTTGTCCCCTTCCTTTCGGAACCTTAGGCGAAAGGCATCGTGATGTTCGATCAGCTTTTCCACAGCCTCTTCCAGCCTTGACAAATTAAGCGGCGGTGTTCTAATGGTAAAAGACTGATTCCAGTGATTTCGGTTATCTAGTTTCTTGTCGAAAAACCACTTCTGGATTGGTAAAAGTGGGACCGTTCCCCTTAAAATCCCCTGTTCAGAAGCAGTATTCAGAACATCCTCCGCAGGCTGCATTCGATTGGGCAAAACGGCGTTATCGGTGATCTCGCGTATTGTTCGGAACCTAAAAATATCCTTGAGGGAAACGCTCGTCTTTGTCTGTTGACGCATACGTCCAATAAGCTTAAGTGATGTAATGCTGTCGCCGCCCAGGCGGAAATAGTCATCATCGATACCGATATGGGGAACACCCAACAAATCCATCCAGATTTGGCAGAATTGTCGTTCTAGATGGTTTCGGGGTGGGGCGTACAATTTCTGAACCAGTACAGCATCTACATCGGGGAGCGCATTCGTGTCCAGTTTGCCATTGATTGTAACCGGAATTTCGTCTTTAATTTGTATAATCCTGGCTGGTACCATGTAACTTGGTAATTTTTTCCCTAAGTGCGATAGAATTTTGGTTTCCTCAAGTAAAAAATTTTCTTTTGTCACAACGTATCCAACAAGATACGGATTTCCGTGACGACCTTTGGGCAGTACGACACACTGTTTAACCTTTGGATATTCCGCCAGGGCTGCTTCAATTTCACCAAGTTCCACTCGTAAACCGCGAATTTTGATCTGCGTATCAGTGCGCCCAAAGTACTCTAGCGTGCCATCCATAGCGCAGCGAACTAAATCACCGCTTTTATACATCACTGTGTGCACGCCGAGTTGTTTTTCGGCTGTCGTCTGGAAAATATTCGGAAGATATCGCTCGCTTGTAAGCTGTTGTCGATTAAGATAGCCCCGCGTAACGCAATCGCCGGACAGGTAAAGTTGGCCAACAGCACCCTGTGGCAAAGGCTGCAAACTGTCATTGAGGACGAAACATTTCGTGTTGGACAGCACGCTGCCCAAAGAGTTTAGACATACATCGTTGGCTTGGTATGTGCAGATCATGTTGTACACCGTGGTCTCAGTGATGCCGTACGCGTTATTTAAAATGCCTTTATATTCACGTCGGATTTTCTCAAACTGGATGGCAGTAAATGCCTCGCCGGCTACGGTGACCATCTGCAGACCGGGAATCCTCGATAAATCGATTTGCTGCAAATATGTTGGTGCACCACTCAAATAGGTCAGCCGGTTCTCGTTCAGGCACGCGTAGAAGTCATCGTCAATCGCTATGTTGTTGGCTACAACGATCAGTTTGTTGCCACTCAGCACCGACAAGGCCATCTGTTCTATGGACAAATCAAACACGTAGTTGGAAAGAAGAAGAACGCCGTGCAGATGTGGTTGATCCTTTACAAAATAGCGGTCTATCAAACTGTTTCGGAAGCCAACCACAGTTTTGTGGGGCACCAGTACGCCGTTGGGTGTTCCCGTTGTGCCAGAGGTGTAGATCACGTAGGCTAGATTCTCTGCATCGGCAAATGATTCACAGTTATGTAGTGGTTGCTCATTCAGAACCGAAACGAACCCAGGACTGTCTATTCCGATGGTTGTCACCGTAGAACCGACAAAGTCCTGTATTCGGTTAATATAGTGATGATTAGCGATGATAATATGGGTACCGGCATCTTTCAGGATAAGTCGAACACGCTCGTCAGGATAGCTGGGATCAATAGGGACATATGCGGCACCGGATTTCCAAACTGCGAGAATGGTAATAATTGTTGTCTCGGATCGGTCGAGAAGGAGAGCCACCAAAGTATCGGGACGGATGGAGAATGTGGACTGCAAGTAATGCGCTAGCTGGTTTGATCTCTCATTAAGGGTTTGATACGTTAGACGAGTATCCCCGCACACCACCGCCACAGAGGCTGGTGACCTTTCCGTTTCCTGTTCGAATAGCTGGTGTACGAGGGGCATATGCACAGGTTGACTGTTCCTTAACGAAGTACTGCTGTCGTCTAACGCATGGTCGTCTTCGTTGACCAAATGCAGGCTGGCGAGTTTTCTGTCATCCGCGACATTCAGTTTCGCAATCTGCTTCAAGATGCAAACATAGCAGTCTACCATGCTGGTAATAGTGGTGGGGCTGAACAGGCTTGTAGCAAAGTTCATTTGTCCTGTCAGCACGGCACCCCTTTCGCTCATCGTCGTAGTTATATCATACTTCGCCACAACGTTGAACTGGGTTTGCGGTTCGTACGGATACATCTTAAAATCACCAGTGTAATGGTCTGTTTCCGGTTCGTCGGTACTGGCAAAATGATTCAACGAGAACACAACCTGGAAAAAATAATTTCGACAGCGTTTATAAATTATTACAACAACCATAGAAGCACCCCCTATCTGTATCCATGTGTAAAAGCTAACCTGGAATACTGGGTGGCGACTAGGATCTCTATCCAAATTTAACCCTTTTACCAGGCTTCTAAAAGGCAAATCCTTATGGGAATGGCATTTGATCATTTGAGCGCTGACAGTTTCAATGTATTCGACTATTCTTGTTTGCAGATTGACATGTGTCCTCAAAGGGATCATATTGACGAAGAACCCGATCAGGTTTTCCAGTTCGACCCGGTCGCGGTTTGCAACGGGTGTGCCAATAACGACGTCATCTTGATTTGCGTAATTGCTTAGAAGAAATGCGTAGGTACTGAACAGAATGGCAAATAAGCTGACGCGAAGCTGCTTTGCCAGATTTTTCAGCAGTTCTGTAGTTTGCTGGTCAAGCTCGAAGCCGACATTTTCTCCAGCATATTCGATGTGAGAAGGCCGCAAGAAGTCGGTTGGAAGGCGGAGACTTTCGAACCCATCCAGATGCTTCATCCAAAATGCTCTTAGATCACCCAGTTTCTGCTGCGAAAGGAACTGCCGCTGCCCGACAGCATAGTCGTTGTACTGGATAGTGAGATCTGGAAGATTTGGCACTGGTATCACTGAGGTTTGATTGTTCTGATAGAAAGTATAGTATGAATGCAGATCCTGCTGAAAGATCTTCCAGGACCATTCATCGAAGCAGGCATGATGGACGAGAATGTTAAGAACCAAAAACTGCTTATCATCTGCAACATCAAAAACGGTGACCTTTATTGGCAACTCCTCATTCAGTTTGAACACATGCAGCGATGCATTGTGGAGTTCGTCATCCAGTGTCTCGAGCTTGTCGACAAAACGTTCATCAATCATAAAGATTTCGTCGATGGTGTTATCGGCCATAATATGCTGTTCGTAGCTACCATCAAGTTTCGATCGCTGAAAAATCGTTCGCAACGCTTGCTGTCTGACAATTAGCGATATTAAGGCTCGTTTAAGGTTGCTCCTGTTCACCGACGAAGGAATTCGAATGCTTAAAGAGACGTTGTAGGCACTTGTGCCATTTTCGTAATCTTGGATGAACAAAAGTTGTTCTTGTGCCAAAGATACCGGAACGTTTTCCTTGTGGGAGGAAACAAGGGGTTGCGCCGCGCTACCAGATGCTAAGATGCAGCTTGACAGCGCTTCGATGGTCCTATGTCGGAAAATGGACGCAATGTCGATGCGCGACTCCGAAAAGGCTTTTGCGATTTCAAAAAACAGCCGCTGCACACTGAGACTATCACCGCCCAGACCAAAGAAATCATCGTGTATACCGATTGCATCAACGGCAAGCCCGAGTACCTCCGACCAAATGTCACGTAATTTTGTTTGCACGGGAGTGGTTGGCACAGCAATCGCTTGGTGTGAAGAACAGTCAATGTCTGGTAGGTTCTTTGCGTCTAGTTTGCCGTTAACCGTTATCGGAATTTCGTCAATACGCATTAACCGATGGGGTACCATGTATTCAGGGAGGCTTATCTGCAGAAACTTCTTCATTTCGTGTTCAGCAATGTAAGCGTTGGACATGTAGTATCCGATTAAATATTTTCTAGTTTCGGTATTCGCAGCAGATGTATATTCTTTTGTCGTTACCACTGCCCGTTTGACGCCGGGATAAGAGATCATAGCCGTCTCGATCTCGCTAATTTCAATGCGCAGTCCTCGCATTTTTACCTAGAAATGTAAGAATAGGTCTTTGGTTACTACGAGTAGAGTAGGGTAGTAGAGTATCTCAGTTTTAAACAGTGCACAAATGGATTACCTGCATATCATTGCGGCCCAAGTACTCCAGTTCCCCATTTGGTAACCATCGCACCAAATCACCTGTTTTGTATATCCGTCCGTTTGTACCCTCTAGTCTTTCTTTCTCCGTTTGAAAAGGATTTGGCCGAAACCGATCCGCGGTCAGTTTCGGACGGTTCAAGTATCCCCGTGCCACACCGACCCCACCAATGTATAATTCACCAACTCCACCTACAGGCGCACACTGCATATCGTAATTGAGAACATAGCACTTGGTGTTGGCCACCGGAAATCCGATACTTTTATTGGTTCGCTTTTCGTGAACCGGGTATAACCGTTTGTGGCTCGTGATGGAAATCTCGGTGGGCCCATATCCATTGATAATCAACCCTTTGAAACCTTTCCGTATCTTGTTAAATACCGGCTCGCTAAAATCCTCCCCAACCGCATCGATGCGGGTCAGGGAATGTTCAAATCGATCGTACTCGTACATCTGCAGGACAGACGGCGTACCGGACAAATAAGTGACCTTATTGCGCTGGATGTATTCGTACAGCCGGGCTTTGTCGGTGCGCATCTCATCGTTGAGAACAACAAGTGTTTGTCCATTCAACAGCGCATCGGTCATTTGTTCCACGAAGTGATCAAAGACATAGTTGGAAAATGATAGGAACACTTCCTCTTGTTGCTGAAGCTTGAAAACTTTACTCAGCGATAATTGCAAATTAACCACACCCATGTGCTCCACCATGACGCCCTTCGGTTTCCCTGTTGTTCCTGATGTGTAGATGACGTAGGCCAGATCCGTACTCGATGACGTCGGTCCGACGTTATGCCACAGGCATGCAGCGCCCTTTAATACGGATTCAATTGGCAGAATCAAAATGTCCTTGCCGGCAAGTAGCTGAAATCGTGCAACGTGACGCTGATTCGTAATGAGGAGTTTGGCTGAGGTGTCTTGCAGGATGAACTGAATTCGATGGTCAGGGTAGTTGGGATCAATAGGTACATAGGCCGCACCCGATTTCCACACGCCCAGGACGCTAAGGATCATTAATTCGCTCTTATCCAAGACAAGAGCGATTAGCATGTCCGGTGGGATGTTAATCAGGCTGCACAAGTGATGCGCCACCTGGTTGGCACGTTCGTTGGTTTCCTTGTAGGTCAAGCGACGGTCCTCGTAGACGATGGCGGTTTTGTCGGGATTTCGTGCTGCCATGTCTTCGAAGACATTGTGCAGAGTCTTCTCTCGTGGAAACTGACTTTCGGTATCATTCCATGCGTCAAAAAGAAGTTGCTGTGATGACGGTACGTAATCCAGAGTACTACTGTTTTGTTCGGGATTTTCATTAATTTGGTTTAGCAGTTTAGCGAAGACGTCCAGTAGTTGGAGGACAGCGGTCTTTGAAAACAGGTCCCCAGCAAACAGAAGAGTTATCTTGATCGACTGTCCCATTTCCTTAGCAAGAATGGCTAACGGATGATCCAGCTTTTCCACTGTAAGCTGCTCTTGAAATCCCATCCTGTCCCGGTGTGGATCACTTCCGCTACTGGGACCGCTAGCATAGTTCTCCAATACAAAAAGACTATCAAAAAGACCGTGCTTCAACGCCCCAGTGTTAACGTGTAGCAGCTCCACGTTGCTTCGGTCGTTCATTGCTGATATCTGCAAGATCGAAAAAAAATGTGGAGCCCTTTCCGTCATATCATTTTCTATAACGATAAGTATGTTACATAACATGAGAATTCTTTTAGTTAATTAGTTATTGACATAATTTTTAATCCGTCTTCTTCATCCATACAACTGTATACTAAAATGTACCATCAGACTTAACCAGTTACAGTATACTTGTATGTATATACGAGGGCCCTTTCATAAGTTTTAGCCTTTGATACGAACCAAAATTAATAAAATTATGATCTGATTTTTCAAAAACTGTAGCATTCATAACTAGATCATAGGGCAATGGCCGAGGTGATACCGCCCACGGCTGGCGACTGGCATCCGTTCGTGCAAAGGTACCCAGGCTCAAAATGCCTCGCGTCAATAATGAGTTAATGTTTTACCGACCGCGGATTTTCTTTACATATTTCAAGAAATTGCTAGAAAAGAACACTGGAGTTTTATTTCTTGGCGAATTATTTATTCTTTTCCTTGATTCATTGCCATCACGTTCTAACGTTTGTGGACTAGTTAAGCTATTTCGAGCTGGGCAATCTTCTGTGACGTAGGCCAGGGAATTGAGGAACCATACTTTAATGTTTACATCTAGACAACGTCTCTTCTAAAACAGCCACGAACAACAATAATCTCGTTGAACCATGGAAGCAATAGTAGAGGGACTAAACATTTAGGAAGCAATGGTTTCGAGGAATCGCTGCAGCTCCTCACAGATAAGCTTGGAGAAGATTGACTTTGACACGGTATAGCCTCCGTACGGGGCAACCCCAAGATAGCACGCACCTACACTTTTCGTCCTTTCGCTCATTTGTTTTGCAACATCACGCAAGAATATCTTGACGCAGCCATTTTATCAACATAGCCTAGTCTTCTACTAGTTCAAAATAATTTTCACTTTAAATGCAATATTAGATGTCTAAGAGCAAAAAGCATAAAAAGAAGAGAAACAGAATTTTTATGGGTCGATCTCCTCTTTACCGCGTCATTTTTCTCTGAATTCGTTTCAAGAATTGGGGAGCAGATGCCTGCAGTGCAGACAGAGTAGAGAAGTAGATTTTATGGATTCGAAAAAGTAAATTTGATTTAGTTCAAAACCGTGCAGCAAAGACTAAAACTTATGAAAGGGCCCTCGTACGTACTGTAGACTCTCTAGCTTCTACTAAACGAAGCTGATAGCCTGATACGAACTGCTCGACCTCCTGCCGAGAGTTCAGCACATTGCTAAAATGGTCTTTCCAAGAACAAATAAAAACAGTAATGGATATTTATCTCTACGCCGATTTATTCAAACATCCAGTAATTAACTATCCGATTTTTTCAGTGATTTACCTGCATTTGTATGGATCTGATGCATTCGATAACACTTTGATGGCTGTGGTTTTCGTGATTGACCACTAGCGGTAACGTATTAATAAACAGACCCACTGCTGATTCAATACCGTCGATCGGAATATTACGTCCAGATACCGTTGTGCCCACCACTGTCTGTCTGCTGCCACCGTAAACGGACAATACTTTGTGCCAGGTAAACTGCAGAACGGAATGGAGAGTAACGCCGTTCTGGGAGCAAAACCTTTTCAATCGCGCGCAATCGTCTCCACTAATTATCACACTCTGCTCCAGCTGTTCTTCGATATGGTCGTAACTTGCCATGACAACTTTGTATTTATGCTTTTCCTTCAAAATACCATTCAGGTCACATCTTTCGGAAATTTGTGCCGTTTGTTGCTGCCAGTAGCCTTCGTGTTCCTTGCGGTATGCATGTAGATATCGTTGGGCGACCGCGTAAGTGCAGTCCGGCTCAAAGGTCACCTGATCCTGAATTGAAAACGAATCTTTAATGACGTCCTCAAGGACAGCCAATATCTTGACCTGAACCAACTTGTAATAGTTTCACGCAAATATTCGGAAACATCAACAACTTATGTGGATAATATATATCGGAACATACGAGCCCACATTATTGTACGTCACGAGGCGACTGTAGAAAGTACGTATATTACGGCTATTTACAGAAGGCGAAGCAGGCTCCAGCTCTCGAGAGAACACATATTCAAAATAGAAATTTAGAATCTTAACAGTTGTCGGATCCTCAACTTTGAATTTTGTATTAAAGTAAGACAGCATTAAGCTATAATATATGATCACTTAAAAGCAGGAAATGCGGAAGGGGAATACTTATTCAAAAAAACTTACACTGTTTGATTGGATCATGCGGGTATAGAACTCATGGAGACAACGGAAAATAACAGCAATACTCCAACCATCCACGATAATATGATGGCAACTAAACACCAGCGTAAACAGTTCATCATTCCGCTTTATGAGGTAAATGCGAAACAGATTGCCTTTCTCCAGATAGTATTTCTCGGCTCGATCTCTGTGAAGTAGATCTTTAATCTGCTTCTCGTGTGCATCGAATTTGCCCTCGTTTGATACATCCACAAAGCGGTAGTCAAGAGCTTGGCTGTCATCCACGATTTGCAGCACCCTCTGGTCAACAACCTCGAACCTCAAACGCAAAGCCGGGTACTTCCGCTGAGTGTGTATCCAGGCATTATGCATATAGTCAGGCTGGATGGATGACCGGTATTGACAGACATTCTGCATGGTATAAGCGTCATCGCTTTCATATTGCTTAAGGTATCGGTAAAATAGTCCTTGTTGAAGACCGTTGGCCGGCATAATCCCAGTTTTCTCGTCGGCTTTCTCGTTATTTAACGGCAGTAAGTTATCATCGTTAACAATAGCATTCCGTTGCAGGTGTGAGGCCAAATTTTGCGCTGTTCGCAGTGCAAAAATATCCTCGACTGTTAGAACTCTACTTAGTCGCTTGCGCACCTGTCCGATTACATGGATCGCTTGGACGCTGTCGCCACCAACGCATAGAAAGTCATCAGTCGCGCTAAGATGATCGAAAGGGATATTCAGAACCGTTGCAAAAATGTCCAGGATTTCTTTTTCCCAGTGGTTGCAAGGGGGGAATTTTTCTGTGCTGTAGTCATTGCTGACATCCGGCAGTGATCTAACATCCAGTTTGCCATTAGTTGTTATCGGTATCTGTGCAATTCGTACTACTCTGTGTGGTATCATGTACCGTGGAAGTTTGGTTGTCAGATAGCCCAAGATAGCATTTTCTTCAGCATCGCCAACGAAATATCCCACCAAAGACTTTACTGCACCGATATCTTTGGCCACAACAACACTTTGTGTAACACCCGGAAACTCGGAGAGATGTGCTTCGATCTCACCGGGTTCAATGCGGATGCCGTGTATTTTGACCTGATTATCGTTTCGACCAAGGAATTCCAGCTCACCATTGCTTAACCATCTAGCCAGGTCTCCTGTCTTGTACATTCTGGCATTATGACCGTATATCTTCTCTTGTTCTGTCTGAAAAGGATTTTTGAGAAATCTCTGGGCCGTCAGATCGGGCAGCTGCAGGTATCCTGGAGAAACCCCCGCGCCTCCGATGTACAGTTCACCGATTTCCCCAACCTTGACTGACTGGAGTTGTTCGTCTAAAACGTAGCATTTCACATTGTTCAACGGTTTTCCGATACTGCGGTCTAATCTTTCCGATCCTGCTGGGAAAAACTTTCCTGTGGTGACAAAAGCTGATTCCGTAGGACCGTATTCGTCGATAATGGTGCCGGTGAAGGTTTTCCGGATTTTGTTATAGCAGTGTTGCGTTAGTTCCTCTCCGGCGCATAATATTTTGGAAAGTGCGGGACATTCCGAGTAGTTGTACTGCTGCAGCAGGGATGCCGTGCCGTTCAAGTAGGTGATACCTGACTTCTGCAGAAAACTGCTGAATTTTATGGGATCATATTTATCCTGATGCGGCACAATGACGAGCGTTTGGGAATTAACAAGTGCCATTAACATTTGTCGCAGAAACGGCTCGAAGACGTACTCCGAGAACAGAGCAATGCGTTCGGAGCCTTCCTGCATTTTATATCTCGCTGATAAGTCGACAATGCTGTTAATGACATTTTTGTGTTCCTTTAAGACACCTTTCGGTTGACCCGTAGTACCGGATGTGTATGTCACATATGCCAACGCGGAAACGTTATCTTGTGGCAGTGATGTTGAAGATAGTGGTTTTAGGTTATCGATAGCGAAGATATTGCGCGAGGGATACAACATGGACAGGCGCGATTTATATGACGTGTTAGTAAGTACAGCCACAGCCCGGGTGTCATTCAGAATGAAACGTACGCGATCGTCTGGATAAGCCGGAGCTATCGGGACGAACGCGGCTCCAGCTTTCCAGATAGCCAGAATGCTGACGATCATAAGCTCACTTTTGTCCATAAAAAGAGCAATCAGCTGATCCCCGTTGATTATCAGCGTTGTGTGAACGTAGGATGCCAGGTTGTGGACCCTTTCACTGAGCTCCCTGTAAGTGACTAGTGTATCTTTATTGATGATTGCCCATTTACGAGGAGCTCTTTCCACTGATTTTTCAAAAAGTTGTATCAAATTTGCAGCTGATGGAAGGGGCACATCCGTGTTGTTCCATTCTTCCACGCATTCAGCTCTTTTGAAAAACGGTTTCCGGGCTTTTCAGTCCACTCAACGGCAGAGTCAAGATTGCCAACCAGCCGGGTTTTAACCGTCATTGTTCTATGAATATCAAGACATTTAAGTTTTTGTTGTTTATAATAACCAATACGCTCAACCGTGCACAAAATTCACGAATGGTACCATCTCCCATTCTTCATGATACCCGTTCTTTAACATAACGCGGTGTTTTTTTACGCTTCCGTATTGATTGGTTGTTTTCTGTAACAAGGATCTGCGATTGAAAACTTTATTCCGATTCACTAGCAGAAAGATTCTCGTTTCTACCACGGTTCCTCATTGTACCGGCTTTTTCGTGGTAATGAAGGAAACGCTGTTATCTAAGGAAACGCTGCGACTGTTTGAAATGCGGTGAATTGGTTTCATATAGTTCATATATATATCAAAATTTCAGATAACTTTAACGATATTGGTTGGTTTTTTAACGTCTCATTATGGATCTTTTTAAGCAATATCAGACAAGTGCATAAGCCGACTGTATTTTTTTTGGTGTTTCATGGATATTGCTAAAAGAAGAGAATACGATCTGGCATCAAGTGCCGTAATGGAAACAATTGTAGATTTTGCTAGCGTTTGTGCACATTTACAAAACATACCTGCTCTCGACTTTTCCGCGTCGTAAAAGAGCCGCTTTACGTGCCAAAAACATACCCCGTCGTAACTGGACCGCACTAGGTCTTAGCTGTGCATCAAACTGGAAGCATCCAAGAAAAACCGGCGCCATGTCAGGATTATTTTGACAGCACTGGATATGATCCGGAATGCAGAGTCCATCCCCAACCAGCAGCGTTATGGCGGTGAAGGCATTTTTAGCTTGATTTAGCAAACCTGAATTTCCGTTGGACATTTGTCGGTAGTATTCCGGATCCCGTGCGTTGAAAATGTATAAACACAGACAAGCGAAATTCCATATATCTGATGAACTTTCATTTTTATTGTCCCCCCGGAGGTCTTCTGGTGCCGAATACAGCAAACTTCGCACCGCCTGGTCCTTTCCGATGTGCTCGTCGTGCAATCGCGTTTGACAGCGTTTCCTCAGTACCGCTCCGATGCGGCCAATAAGCACCTTATTTGGTCGAAAATCCATTCCGCAAATTGCACTCTCATGCAGTGCCACCATTTGCTGCAGTACTGTATCCGCAATCCAGATTTTGTGACTTGGCGATAGCGTGTTAAGACCATTTTTGTCGTGGGAAATGTCGATAAGCTCAGCAATGAGTGAAGGAGTCCGAACGAGTTGCTCCACTGTCACTAAAAATAAATTCTTAGTTCTGCAACGAGGTGCAGAAAATGAGGAACGTTGTCGTTCACTTCCATACAGTTTGTAAGGATCTGAATGAGCCATGAGTTGGAGGAAATTAAGCTGCGTGCACTGCCATGCAGTTAGCTTACTGACGGTACGCTAAGAGTGCCGCAGTTAGCCAGATCGTAATACTCACAACCTTGACGGTGCGATATGAGAAGCAGAGAAGGTACAGGCTTGTTCGGTGCCGGCATGCATGCAAAACGTTATCAGCTGATAAACCAAACAAACGTCTTATATCAGCGTGCGCACTATCGGTAAATCAAATTTACACATGCCGTTCTATTATCAACATCAGTATTATGAGTGAGCATTTCCATTCTAACCCGCTTATCTGCCTCGTGGTTTTCGGAACCCCGTTAGTTAGGCTGTGCGTAACATCATTATGTAGTGGTAGGCTTACTCCAAAGTATTTTCCAACAAAGACAGAAAACCGGCAACAACAACTCGAACTATTTTCCAACAAAGGCAGACAGAAATCTGTGGCTGCACCTGTTCGCAGAGCGATAATCGTCAACACTCTACGGTATAGCTGTATGAAACGCACGAAAAACGGTGCTTGTCTCTCAATATTTTTAAAGTACACGCTCAGCATTTCCTGCTGAATTTCAGTACCTAACTGCGATGCTCAGAGATGTGCTTGAACATGTTACAAAACCGAAATATCTAAAATTGCAATATCAATTCTGCATGCTTCGCTTTATGTGATGTCCATCTTTCTGTATCCTTCTTCACTGCTGATGGAGGAGATAGGTTCCATGGTCCAGACACCAGCGCAGTGCGAACAAGGTTAACTTTCGCAAGGCGTGGACTGGTATATTAGCCAACGGATTGTCCAGGTTGAGAGTCAAACGCGCATCTCCTGATTGCCACTGCCTCAAAAACTGCAAAAATTCGTAAAGATGTGATACAGGTGCATTGTAAAGACATCCGTGGATAGTGGTCATGCCCCTTGTATTAACATTGTGGAGAATTAGGTTGAACGTATCGAACAACCGTTAAGAACAAATACAGGGGATCAAAGGAAGAAAAAATGAGGGGTTTCTGCGTACGAAATTCGATGATAAGCTGTCTAAGCAGCTGACTGTGTTTCCTACCCGTGCTGACCAGCGTACCAAGAGTACTTGTACAACATACAAAACTAGCAGTCTGGACTTCCGTTTCTATACCTAAATTTCATAGCTGCATTAGGTTCAATTCATTTCTGTACCGGAGAATCGTACCGGAGAATCTAATGAATCGTACCGGAGAATCTAATCCATTTCGTACCGGAGAATCTAATGAACTGGGCCGGGGTACTGGCTGATCCGGCGTTTCTCAGTTACGGTAAGCGTAACCATAATTAATTTCATGATTTCAAAGCCCTTTCTAATCTGTTCAGCGCAAATTCCCTCGAACCACTGTATACCAAATTCGAATTAAGAAGGTCTAGCAGCATCTCAACTCGAAGTGCTGGTGTAATTTACTGATGTCGTCTACGTCACTAAGGAGTAAGTAATGATTATGTGATTTATGTCTAACAGGCAGGAAGGCGGATAATCGATGATGGATGATCAATGAAACTGAATCTAGTCATCTACCTTTCTGCCGAGTCCGGCAGATTGACAACAGATAAGTCTCCACCAATCGGCCGAACTTCGACAGAAAGGTAGATGACTAGATTCAGTTTCATTGATCATCCATCATCGGCCAATCCACCTTCCTGCCGGTTACATACATTAACGCGGTGCTGTATGTTGTACGTAGTTGTACGAGAAGCTAGGCTTTGCAGGTTACCTGCAACATGAGTTTTCTCGGTACCGAATGTGTATCCATTCGGGTTTGCAGCATTTGCACGCCTTCCTCGCTCATCGGTAGGCAATTTTCCTCCAGCCATTGCCGTAAAGCCTGCGGTTCTCCGCTTTGATTTGTGATGGTAACGAGCTGGCCTGCTTTAACTGTGGCATCCAAGTCTGGGCATCGTTGAAATCAAAACCTGTCCTGCTAAGGTGCACCGTTTTCAAACCTTTCCCAGTTACACCTGCACGAGTCGCCATCCATAAACAGCAGTCCTTTTGTATATACATTTTTCAGGATTAATTTGTCACAGATGTCTTTCCACCCGATCGAACATGCACAGACAACGAGCTGGACCAGCTGAAGATATCCGGTGCCCAAACGTACCAATTACAAATAGCGATGGACTGCAACTTGATGCTTTTTGCTTTCAGTAGATCAATCAGAACAGCGATGGGATCGGTGGAGCGGGAAGCTTGTTGGCCATTGCCCGTTAATATGATGTGTCTAGTTGATTGGCTAATATCTTTATCGAAAACACAGGCAAGCTCGTCGTTCTCATACTCCTGCAGGTTGAATTCCGTCCGTAAACACGTGGGAACGGTGGTTAACAGGGTGTGCCAGGATCTACACACGATTCGGCAGTTGAGTTGTTCCCAAAAGTCCAAAAAGAAAAATACCTGACGGAAGACTTCGATAGGTAGACAGGTGTTTATACACGATTGGTAGTGGTACCGTGTACGGGATCTGGAGGCCTAGTAAAACCAGTCAGCTTACTTTTTTGTGAAAGTATTTGTGATAGGACATGAAATATTTAGGGTACAATTATAGCTTAAACGATTCTCGAAGTAGTAGATTGCATTTGTTGTACCCCGCAGACTACTCCAGTTCACTACTAAGTCTTTACCCTTTCAGTTACGGTACAATGCTACCACTTACCAGGCAGGATTTGAAAAAGAAGCGCTTTCCGTGTCCTTTTTTTCCAGCGTTCCGATCATTCTCGTCGAGCTTTTTCCGTCTAGCCATCATCCGAAATATCCCGATCTTTGAATAAAATTTCAAGAGTCTGTAGTGCATCGTCGTACAATATGACAAAGCCACGCTTAAAGTCATACGTAATTGCACCCAAATGTGTATTTGCACGCGCGAGCCTTTGTAGTACTGTATATGCTAGGCATATACACTGTAGATAAATTGCAAATAAAATATCCTAAAAGACAAAATTGTTTCCATGCAAACGATAATTCTTATAAATTACCGACAATGAATACTAAGAAACTGCCCGCTTTCAAAATAGTACGATAGCTGTACGTACCGTTTCCCAGAAGGACCATCCGCAGTGGTCATAGCAGTTTATATAGATCAGTTTTCCTGTCATGACCTTCACGAGTATCTTATCGCGCCCATGCTCATGATTCCACCACTCAAAATCTTTGCGGCTTCGCGCCAGTGCAAAAAGTGAAACTATCCAACACGCCGATGAACTGTGCTGTTTATACCAACTTAACATTAAAGGTCGTCGTTCCCCTGATGCCATGATCCAAGAACGTTTCACCACTTCCCTCACAATTTCGCCCTGCCGCTGGGTCTCGACATAAGCGAATGTATAAGACGATCCCGCGATCACTCTGGCCAGGTACCAGCGGAATGCCTCGTTGTCTGAGCCCCGCCACAAAATGTGTACTGTGTCCCCAGCGGCGAAGCGGAAATAGGCAGTGTGCTCGAAGCACCGGTGAAAAGGGATTGGTTCAGCACGGTGGTCGGGATATCCGAAATTAACGATAAAGCCTTCTGAGGCATCCATATCTGTTATCAGACCATGGCGGAAGGACCCATCGTCAACTTCAGAACTTCTACGTCCACGGCGCCATAACACCATATAAGATCGTGCTCGAACATAGCAGTATATGCCGTCTTTCGCCTTGAATGTGACGTAATTAACCGGTATTTAACAAAAATTTTGCGGCAAACGTATGCTTTTAAAACTGCAGATGGTGGGCACGTCGCTAGCAGCCTAACTTTGTGATATCAAAGCACTCCGTGGAACAGAAATAAGTGAGTTGGCAGAGAAGGAGAAAATGTGCAGAACATGTAATTTGGTAGAGACACCACCATTCCCAAATCCCAGTGATACAGTTCGAGATCAGTGAGACAGCAAAACATCCGGTAGACCTGTTAATGAGAATGATGGGCCAGTCTTCGTCGATTAAAGAGGGTTTTTCCCGTGCCACGTACGCGGGTTGCAGCAACGCGTAACGCGAAGGATCAAGTCTTGGATCTGTTACGTGGGGCCTTATGGGCGCCCACGTACCTTCGACGGCGAAACAGCGGCGAACCCGGATTGAGGCTTTAATGCCGAAATCTAACTCGCGCACCGTGGCGCAGCAACACCAGACTAATGAGATCGGATCCTACAGCCAGCGCAGCTGTGCTGTAGGTCCGTCAAACACCACAGAAATGTGTGGGATGGAAATCCCCAGAAACAGCGAAACACAACGGCGAATGGCCAATCGTGAAGGCGGAGCTATCGGCCTTCACATCCCTGTACTGTCCAACACTGAGCCCCTGCGAAGTGCATGAAAAATGGCGGTATGCGCCGTAAATAAGAAAATGTCAGTATGCATGCAGTAAAAGTAACATAAGATCAAATGAGAAAAAAAACACTGCGTAGTACAGGCCCGTCCCTGTACTATGTCCAATTGACTTTACTACCGGATACACGGTTCCACTTCGGGCGGCTTACGGTCCGGTCAGTCCAGGTCGGGTAAGGTGGTCCGGTCGGCTCAGTCTTGTCGGCTCGAATCCGGTTCGGCTCAGGTCGGGTTCCGGGTCAGGTCGGCTCCGGTTCGGTCAGAGGTCGACCTATTGGGTCAACGCACTGTCGCGAAAGATCCAGGGTCCAACCCTGAAAACAGGCAAGTTCCGGTTTCTTCAGCAGGGAAAGGTCACGTTCTGGAGAAATTTGGGCAGGGGTTTGGGGCATCGGTACGCTCGTGACCCTGCAAACAAACAAATACGCTGCTCCGGTGGGGATATTCCACTGCTCCGTCCGGGTGAAGGTCGCCATCCCAGGAAATACGGGCAGGGCTCTGGTGGGGGGAATTCTTCGGCGTGATGCTGGTGGTCGATCCGGCCGTAGGGATCGGAGTTGGTGCTGCTGGTCGCGGTGTATCCGTTCTGGTTTCCGCTGAATCCGGGCCGCGTCCGCCGTCGGCATCGCAGGAGACGATTCTCGCTCCGCGGCATCATCTCCATCGCTTTCTGGTGGAGGCATCCAATGCGTTCCGCATCGGGGTGCATTCTGCACGGCAGGTGGCTTATCCCGGGGGGCTACGGATGGAGCTCCATACCGGGGGTTGCATCGGCAGCGATCTGGTCCACAGCTCAGAGGTGGCCCGTGAGCGGGGCAAGCGCGCTGTGGGAACACGATCGTCACCGTGATCTGCTACCATGTTACGTGGGGCCTTATGGGCGCCCACGTACCTTCGACGGCGAAACAGCGGCGAACCCGGATTGAGGCTTTAATGCCGAAATCTAACTCGCGCACCGTGGAGCAGCAACACCAGACTAATGAGATCGGATCCTACAGCCAGCGCAGCTGTGCTGTAGGTCCGTCAAACACCACAGAAATGTGTGGGATGGAAATCCCCAGAAACAGCGAAACACAACGGCGAATGGCCAATCGTGAAGGCGGAGCTATCGGCCTTCACAGATCGTAGCTCCATGTAGCATAATATGCTACATGGAGCTACGATCCAAGACTTGATATGCCGATATAATATTATTATATCGGCAGCGGCGTGACTCACCCGCCGTTGAGCGGGAATGAGCTACCAGCACATTGTGTACTGAGCTGATCACAGTCCTGTGCACTCTGCATGCTATCCTCGTCTCAAAATAATATTGATTTATCGATCGCTTCTGTGGTTACTCACGCTTACGCGTGCCACTAACGTAAGCGTTTAGAAGCGATGCAGCGCAGTCCAGCAGTGATACACTTCTCTGCATCCGCGGAAGTGTAATTCTTGACTATTAAGCAGCGTTCCTGCAGTACACGGTAAACGTTACGAGACGTAGCCGCGTAAATGCGGATAACACACAAAAAATTAACAACAGAAGTATACAGAATGATGTATCGTACTCAAGGATAATCCGTAAAGCTGCATTCTTGCACACCAGGTAAAGTAGAATGGTTTACTAATCATTTGCAGAAGCACAATGCGGTAAAACGAGACAGTCTATAGCCCCCTGCATACGGTTCAGCGCAACTTCCGCGGGCATTCCTCGAAAGACTATCGTTAAACTTCTCATAACGCATGAATGTCAATTATGCAGTAGCATGGGTGACCCGCTATTTCGTCTAGTCGAACAGACACGATGTTGACTCTTCATGAAGTCGAGCTACCGTTCTGTTGGTACATCTGAAGTTTCGTAGCTTTCTTAGTTTTACTTAGGCTTTATTCTTAGATTCTTACTTTTTAGGCTATCAGGGTTCCTATTTTTCTTAGTTTTTCGGACATTTCTAAGCCGTCTACCTCGTGCCGGTGGACTTTGTGACGGTCGACGAAGCTTTTTTCGATTTTATGTCGGTGAGCCAACACTGTGATCAACGGATGTATCGTACCGGTGGCGAACAACCGCAAGCCGGAAGAGAACAACAGCGTCAGTGAGATCACCGCCTTGGGTTCTCTGGTCGCAACTGAAGCCGGAATTAGGAATTATTATTGTATTAAGGATATTAAGTACAAGATCGATAGATAGTTTTGAGATCTCTATAACCATAAAACTTCTGGAAAAACGGACAACGCTATTAGATCCGGGATAGTTCAGAAGTGGCCGGCATGTGTTTTTTTTATGAAAATATCGAGCCGGTATTAAGCCGGCATCAAGACCAGATTGATCCAACCTATCTTAAAGGTCACCTTGAAACTTAGAAATATTTGCCTAGATACAATACAAAATACCAATTGACATAATTATCACACTAATTAAACCGAAAAATAAATAAATTATTGTACCTATTCAGACACTCGCGTTATTCAAACATTGCTGCCGGTGTTGCCGAGCTCGAAACACGTTTAAAATCAACCGATATAAAATGTAAAAATATCAAATATAAAATCAATACGAAAAATCACTGGACGAGTGAGTGACTGAAACACTATCACCGACCACTGAGCGGAATCTCTAGATGATGAGTGGGTGACCGAGCTACCACCACTGACCAGTAAGAAAAATCACTAGGCAAGTGAGTGACCGAAACACCATTACTGCCCACTGAGCAGAATTTCTAGGTGAGTGAGTCATCGAGCGGACTTTGCTTTTGCTCACCCAACGGGCTCTGTGCACTGGACAGTAGTTGTAGCAGGGTCACATCCTCACCTAGCGATTTTTCTCCTTACCTAGCGATATTTCTTACTGGACAGGTTGAGCTCGGTCAGTCACTCACCTAGTGATTGAGTGCGTCAAAAAATCCCTAGGTGAGTACGTGACCGAGCTACCACCACTGTCCAGTGCCCAGAACCCGTTAGGTGAAAGAGTACCGAGATACCACTACTTTCCAGTGCACAAACTCCGTTAAGTGATCTAGTGACCGAGCAACCAATACTGTCCAATGCATAGATCTCGTTGGGTAGATGGATGACGGAGCTGCCGATACTGTCCAGTGCATAGATCCCGTTACGTAGATGGGTGGCCGAGCTACCAATACTGTCCAGTGCATAGATCCCGTTAGGAAGATGGGTGACCGAGCTACCAATACTGTCCAGTGCACAGAGCCCGTAAGGTGAACGCGTGACCGAGCTAACACTACTGTCCAGTGAACGAACTCCGTTAAGTGATCTAGTGACCGAGCTACCAATACTGTCCAGTGCATAGATCCCGTTAGGTAGATGGGGGACCGAGCTACCAATACTGTCCAGTGCATAGGTCCCAAGCAGTTCAGTATTATAGATCAGTATTGGTAGCGTACTACAAAATTTAAAATTTTCCTTAAGTTGTTAGTTTTTATACCGCAGAAAAGCGGCGGGGCTCGTAACCAAGCTACCAGTACTGTCCAGTGCACAGAGCCCGTTAGGTGAACGCGTGACCGAGCTACCACTACTGTCCAGTGCACGAACTCCGTTAAGTGATCTAATGAGCGAGCTAGCACTACTGTCCAGCGCATAAACTCGAGACCGAGTTACGAGTACTGTCCTTTGTAAAGATCCCGTTAGGTAGGTGGGTGACCGAGCTGCCAAAGCTATCCAGTGCACAGAGCCCGCTAGGTGAGCGTATGACCAAACTGCAATATTACTGAGCAAAATAGAGCAGGGCCTGCTAAGTTCTTAATGGGTGACCTATCTAGCACCACTGTCCAGTCTTAGCGTCCTTTTAGTTTGTAATGTGATACTCTCGTGGGTGATTTGATTCGGATGGTTTTTCGCTAAGAAAATTTAACAAAAAATGATCTGTAAAGTCAAAGTAATTGCGTTCGACTGCACGAAACCAAAACATCCATTTTTTTATAAAATTTTTGTTATCGGGCTCTTCAGATTTATCCGTTCTAAGTTAACAATCCGTAAACCGGCCAAGGAGTTTAGAACCCAAGAAACGCGGAGGCGAATCCGAGGCTGTTTCTTGTACTATACTAACGCTCGTAACAATCAAAATTACTGTTGTTTTGTTCTTAACCTTTCTTTCCTGTGTGCTTCATTTTTCAACCTTGTGGTCTGACCGTACTTGCTATGAGCAATCATTTTTCCTCACTGCAATAACTAACAACTGCCTGAACCTTTGTATTGTTTTCCCTGCCTTTTTTCCTGCGGCTTGATCATACTTGGTTGTCGAGTGCCTTGAGAAGACACTCCCCGCGCCGTCTCCCGCTGGGTCTTCGTTGTCCATCTGGAACCGGTACCGAAGCACAAGAAATGCCCTAGGTCACCTTTCTGACAGCTAAAGTTTTAGTGCATCTGCAAGTACAGTGTTTCTCACCCTAAATGATGAAAGGATTCGACAGTACGGAGTATTCTTATTACCGTTGTCCTTATCAACGTCGGTTGAAGGATTCGTTTCGTACACCATTTGGGGCGTCAAAAATGACGTTAAGAAAAAATCTATACGCCAATCCTATCGTACATATTTTCTCAGAAGACATTTTTATTTTTATTGAAGAACAGATAAAAAACACTAATTTCCAGAAAACATTCTGGCACAAAAACCCAAGTTGTAATGTAAAACGAGCAATCCCAAGCCTAACATGCTTACAGAGTTACACCCATAATAAACAGTTGTACACTACCCTTAAACTGACCACTGTCCAGTGTCCAACCGTCGCCTACCGATCAGCCTCCCTTCCTTCAGCGCTGTCCAGAAGCCTGGCCAGACTATGGGAATAAGCTTGTGCTCTAGAAAATGATAGCTGACTGTACTAATTTAAGCTGAATTCCTTCAAACCAAAATGTGTCATCGATAAATGTGAAACGCTGCCGGTTGGAAATAACGATGGTACAAATGCAACCCGTGGCATAGACAAGCATGGTTTTATTTGCCGGCCTTGACGTCATAGGCGATTCAAACAGATCAGCTTTTGAAATTCATGTGTTCCCAAACCCAGCCACTAATGGCGCTAATTTGAAATTAGCGCCATCACGATACATCGCCACCCTGTTGCGGTAGCCAGGCCATCTGTCTCTCTTGTCTCCACACTCCAGCTTATGAATCTTGATTTACGAATCTTGTCCATTTAACAGTGTCACCATCGATGATAACTTTCAAAATTGGTTATTGCTTTTTCACGCTTTTCCATCATGCTTCTGATAGACTGTTGGTTGTTGCATTGTCCACTGCAGTAAAGGGGCATCGCCATGTCGCAAGAAGACATTAAATTCCTTATTATATTATTTATATTATACAGTACTCTAGGCTGTAAGCCTGAGACTGATTGTATCCGGAAAACGAAAATACTTTAACTTTTGACAAGATCTATCCGTAAGAAATATATCACACACGTCTCTTCTTACCATACGCCGCTTCTTTCTTCACTGCTGGTGGAGGAGGTGTTTTGAGTAGCTTCCGGTGCACAGATACCAGCGCAGTGCGAACAAGGTTAATTTTCGCAAGGTATGGACTGGTAAACAGGCCAACGGATCACTTCTGTAACTCATGTAGTCAGTGAGACGTGCATCTCCGGATTGCCACTGCCTCAAAAACTGCAAAAGTTAGCGGACCTGTGATAACTTGGAACAGCATAGGCGAAATGCAATAGCATAGGCGAAATCAAAGGCGACTAAATGATTAGATAGCCCGAAATTTAATTAAACTACAATCCAATTCTGGTTAGAAACCTAACTGCTGGCTTGCAATTAATTCTGTACATGCTGCGATCGTGGTAAGCTAGAAGTGAACATAGGGACCGCTTAGAAACAGTCAAGCAACTTTACTAGACAGAAAACCATCATCATTCCGCCCCTTCCTCCGGGAAAGCATGAAAACATTTGCCTTTCTGCACAGAACCATTATGGAGGCGAATCCACTTCCATAGTGGTTCGTGGCGTTTTCAAGTGAACCTGCCACTGGTTTGCCCCGCCGGTTCGGTTTCAAGACGACCAGCAGCATCTCCAGGTAACTGTCGATGCTGCCGGGTTATGCCGCTCGAATCCGCCCAGTCTGTCCGGCCACCTGATACCACCATCGGCACCAAGGCCTGTACACTCAAAATACAGCGGGGAAACGCGGCTCCAGTCATTGGTGCAATGGAAGGAGTAGAAAAGTTTAATGAGCTCTTTCTGTTGTGATGTAAAAATTTTTAACCCTTTTATTAACTCATACATGTTTACTTCATTTGTATGCCGTGGACACTCAAGCGGCGTTGTGTTATGTAGTTGCACGAAAAGAACTTGCTAATGTTTCGCAAGATACCTGTAAGATCATTTTTTTCGGTAGAGAAACTGGGTCTACTGTTCGGCTTTGAAGCAAACGGAGTCCTTCCTCGCTCATCGGGGGACAATTATCCTCCAGCAACTGCCTTGCAGCCTGCATTTCTTCCTCGTGATTTGTGGCGATGATGTACCTGCCCACGTGAACCGTGGCCTCCAAGTCCGGGCATCGTGAATCCCAACACCTGTACTGATAGCTTTCACGCTCCCTTCTGACAGCTTCCTGATAACAACCGCACGATTCGACATCCACAAACATCAGTCCATTAATACGTACATTCGCCAGGATTAATTTGTCGCAAATGTCTGTCCACTCCGATCGAAACTGTAGAGTCAACGAGCTGGACCAGCTGAAGACATCCGGTGCCCAGACATACCAATTGCCAATAGCGATTATCTGCAGCTTGATATTCTCTGCTCTCAGCAAGCCAATAAGAATCGCGACAGGATTAGTACGGCGGGAACGGTTGCAGTTGGTATTACCAGATAATATAATTGCTTTAGTATATCGGTTTACATTTTTATGGAAAGCCAAGGCTAAATCGTCGTTCTCATATCCCTGCAGGTTAAATTGCATCTCTAAGCACGTAGGAGGGGTTGTTAATACCAAATGCCAAGATTTGCACACTTTGCGACAATTCCGTTGGTCCCGGAATTCCAGAAAGGAAAATATCTGGCGAAAGAGTTCCCCTAGTAGGAAACGTTTATACACGGTTCGTACTCATACTGGTGCAGCCTTGTAGATTTAGAAGCCTGAAAAAGTCAGTTTATCGGATTTATTATATTTGCGAGAAAAAATTCCTCTCCTTGTAAATAGCTGTAATACTGTATGTAAACTGAGTTTTTTTTGCGTTTTTCCATTCCACCGCGGCGCCAACTGATGGTTTGCATACCTTTTTGTGCAAATAAATCGCACGCGCGCAACACCCGGTTATGGAAGATACAAGGAAGATTCTACATGCATCGTCTGCGTATGCAAAGCGAAATAACCGTCTCGACCAATAACCATTCTTAAAATGAACAAATAAGAAGCCTGTACAGATAGATGCTGTTGCCGAAATGCTCATTTCACATCCCGAACGAAAGAAAGGGCGTGAAAGGGAAAATTGTCACACTCGTACCAAAGGTAACAAAGGCCAAAGTACCAGGTTAACGAAACTGGACTTGGTTAAATTCGTTATGACCTTACCAAGCAGGATTTGGTTAGGAAACGATTCCAGCGTCCTGTCTTTTTCGCTTCCTTCTCACAAAACTTCCTATTCTTCTCGTTGACCGTTATCCGTTTAGCCATTACCCGAAATATTTCGATCTTTAAAAACAAATACAAGCGGTTTTAAATAGCGCCTTATAACATCATAATGAAATTTTGATGTTATAAGGAAATGTCGATGTTTTCAATTTTCTAAAATTACGTTGTACCACAGGTGAAATAAAACACAATACAAGCGGTTTTAGTACCTCGACACAATAGTGTGACCAAGTTGCTCTAAAAATAACATTGATGAGTAAAATTTACGTATTGGCACACCAGCCTGCACAGATGCAGTAATTTACAAATCATGAGAAAAAAGCCATTGGCAAAACGGTCGCCAGGTTTCGGTTGCCGCCAGACTGCAAACTTGTGTTGCTAAACCACCAAGAAGAATTGCTAACTCGATGAATTTCCAATTTCTTAAAAATATTTCTTCAACATTTCAATTTTTTCCATAAACAATCCCAACCTACACGGTCGATGGACATTTTCAAACCAACATAAATGAAAACAATCCTAGTTTTCATACCGCAGAATTTGTGGAATGGTAACGGAAACTAGTGAGTTCAGCCATTTTTATAAAAAAAACGCTACGCCGTTTAAGCGGTCCTTAATATCTTTGGTTTACACAAAAGTGTTCTACAAAATTGTCCGCTTACGTATACTAATATACTGTATTACAATTACCGTTTGTGAGGAATACCATCCGTATCGGTCGTAGCTGTTAATAAAGACCAGCCTTCCTCTCTCCACCTTCACGAGTATGCTTCCGCGCCCATGTTCACGATTCCACCACAAAAGTCTTCTCGACTCCGCGCCCGTGCAAGAACTGCAACTATCAAACTTGCCGAAGAACGGTGCCGTTTAAAGCTCTCTAACTTTAAACGAGGCCGCTCCCTAAAGGCATGATCCAAGACTGTCGCACCACTTCCCGCGCATTTCCTCCGGGCCGCTGGGTCTCGACGAAAGCGAATGTATGAGACGACCCTGCGATCACTCTGGCCGGATACCAACGAAATGGCTCGGTGTCTGAACCCCGCCACACAACCTGCACCGTGTCCCCAGCGACGAATGGACGGTGGGAAACTCTCCAGAAACATCGGTGAAACGGGATTAGTTCAGCATGGTGGTTGGGATATCCGAAATCAATGATAAAGCCTTCCGCGGCGTCCACATCCGCTATCCGACCGTGGCGGAAGGATCCATCGTCATCCCGTACGTCCACGGCGCCATAAGGCCATACATGATCCTTTTCACAGATATCGCTGTATGCCATCTTTTACCTTGTGACGTAATTAACGTGCAACTAACTTGTGTTACTAACGGGACGGAAAAATCGTGCAACATAAAACATTTTTAAAGCTGCCGATAAAGCGTCGTGTTGCTAACTTTGTGATATTACCGCAGGGCCTGAAATAATATAACCTCAGCGTCATAAGCGAAGATATAATTTGGTAGAGACACCGCAATCTCGAATCCCGATGATGCAGATCAAGAAACGGCAAAACAAACGGTAGGCTTGTTGATGGGAACGATACGCCAATCTTCCTCGATTAATTAAGGAAGGTTTTTCTCGAACCGTTTGCGCGTGTTGCAGCAACGCGTAATGCGAAGGATCGATCGAGTCTTGTATCGCAGCTGGGCATAGCATGCATCGACAACAGCGTGGAGCGGAGTGACTCACCCGTCGTTGATCACGAATACGTTGCCGGTCAAACAGAGCGCTCTGCCCTATCTATCCTCCTCTCAATACGCCAGATATTATATCGATCGCTTCTGAGTTTACATACGCTTGAGCGCGAGTGAACGTTTAGAAGCCGTACTTCTATAGCTCAGTCCAGCACTGATACACTTTTCTGCATTCGCGGAACTGTAATTCTGGAGTGCGGTATATAATACCTATATATCCGGTGGAAATAGATTTTAGCGGTTGCCCTAAGAACTGCAGGATGCGCCCTTATAGACACTGTATGGTATTTACTGTTAAGCAATTCTTTAAGGTCAACCTTATCTTAATGGGCGTTGGTGGATTCTACAACAGGTAGAGGGCCAGTTCGGCAATTTATTTCCTGTTGAATACCAGACAGCCAAGTCTTGTTTACTTTGAAGAAAAACACGAATGCCGGCCCATTTATGGGATGGTCCCAGGTTCGCAGCCAGCGCGCGAATGCACCGCGGTGATCTTATCACGCATGCGATGAGTAACCGGCCGACAGTTGTCATTAACCGCGGCTAAAAAGCGCTGTCTCTGCTCGGCGACCGTGTCTGTCCCAGGGAAACGCAGATAAGAAATCAGTACTTTCATCGGACGAACGGTTAGACACCGTCTGCATTCTATCTCGTGGCGCGGCTGCGGCCAGCCGGCATCGGTGCACAGCATTTCTAGTAGCGCGAAATTGCTGACGTGCTTTACGCGCTGCTGCTAATCCACACCATCTGCTCCCACACCGTCATCAGGGTGGACAGGGAGCGGCATTCCGACGCAGATGCACCAACGGACAGTCCGGAAGTCTAGTCAGGTCCAGATTATGATTAAGAGTTGTACACGGATACTCTTAACCTTCGTTATCCGGTGGGCTGTGTACAAGTTTGCCACGAAACCTCGCGTTCTGTCGTCGCGACGCTGGTTGGCAGTCAACCCCACTAGGGTTGGTGTCCTCCAGGTGACGCTGCGATCTAACATCGTTACGAATTTGTAAACAAGATGGTCATGCTCCACGAAAAGAGTGCGTTATACCAGTTGGACTGTACCCGCGGGCCGCATCGGACCCATGCCGACCATGATAATTATGTCTGTTGTCTAATATATATTTTTGTGACACAAGTCTCCACACCATGCGCTCGTTACGTTACGTTACAGCAGTGGGCATTGAATACGTTGATAATATGGACATTATATCGTTGCCTTCTATCTGCTGAAATAATATAGCAAGTGACCGTTACGGGCGCGAATGTCCCCTATTCCAGCACAGGAAACGCCATTATACATGGTACGGCAGCCACGCCGTTTTCTTCCGTGCAAAACTACTCGTACATATGTCAGAAATCCGAATTACAAGGAAAATGTCCTGCGACTATTGGCACAATCCATATGCCTAAGCAGTTTATCTTCTACAATAGTGCAGCGTTATTACTGACGTTATGGAAACAGCCAGCAAAACAATCCCATGCCAAATCCAAAATTAAAGTAGTGCAATATAACAGTCTTCACTGTACAAAACATACAGATAATTTAAGTAACCACAGATTCTATATTTTCGCACGTTTGCTCGTTTTCGCATCGGCTAAACTAAAAATTCAGATCTCAAAAAATTGTCAGTAAATAAAATAATTGTTAGGAAATGACCGCGTCTAAGGTACTGTTGAGGGACAACATAATTCCGTGCATTACGTTGCTGCGATAGTTCCGTACACTGCTGTAATTATTACAGAAGCAGCTCAAAGCTTAAAGCTTAGAGGCTTTGATCATGATTAGGTTAATTTAAGTGCTTGAAGTGCTCTAGTTGGACAGATCAACAGTGTGCCACAGGGACAGGGATAGTCTTCGATAGGGAAATGCGGGATATATGCTTAGATATACGTAGTTGAATAATGATGACAGCACAGACACCGGTCGTTCCCGCTACAGGATAAATAAGCAAGTACGCTTAAGCAGTACCCAGCTACAAAAAGATCGACGCGCGACAATATTGGAAAGGTGCGTCTCCGTTACACATGACCGCCAGAAAGCCCGGCTATCTTATGTCTGACTTGGAGCCCAACTTTTCGCGCGGTGCTGCACGGCATCATGTACCGCCTCTTCCTCCTCCAGCCCGGACTTCTTCTCAGAGCCCGAAATAAGTTCAGGATCTTCCGGCGCCTTGGCGCGGATGCACTGATGCCTACTGGGCGGGGAATTCATGACGCCGTCGCCCATCCCGTTCGCCCCTTTGAGGATCGCACTGGCCTCGCGCCGCCGCCGTTCCAGATGAAAATGGGGATCGACGCCTTTGTAGAGACCCGTCTGGCCGGCGAGGACGCGGCGCCTGCGGCGATTCTCCTCTGATTCTTTCTGGATGGTGTAGATCGTCTCGGCCAGCAGCTGGTAGTATTCTTCGCGGGTATTGGCCTGCTCGTACATTTCCGCCTCCACTCTGCGGGCGTAGGCGATGAGGCTGGTCATGAACTGTTCCTGGAATGCCGACTGGTCGTTGTACGGGATAATGGCTTGTACGCTACGAAAATCATAAAAACATGTTGCATTTCCTCTTTCAATACACCTTTTTTTGGAGAAAAATCAATAAAATTCTAAAAAAAACCAAAAACGTTGATACTTTTCCAGTCTTCGGATGCTGCGTACTTGCATCCAGTCTAAATGCTGTGAGGAGCGGCGCGCGGTCATTCAGCGTTTAGGCGTACAAAATCTTGAGCATTATACCGCTAATGTCCAACGTGGTCTAGCTGTAAGTGCTTCGCGTTAAAGCCTGGTGGACGGGGGTTCGATTCCCTGCGTTGGCAACATTTTTCGGAATAATGCTCAGATTTCAGGCTTATTCAGGCTTTTCAGGCTCAGACCGCCGCCGCTAGGCGACGTCCCCTACAATGCGTATACAAAAGTACAAAAGATGCACACTTAGCAGGCACGAAGACGCATGAGATAGCCAAATAAGTGCTCGATCTCTGATCCAGTTAACTCTAATGTCAAGATTTTCTTTCATCCACTTTGATTCCGTCTTTGAGAGCAACCGCGTTGCAATTAGCACGCACAATTTCTGGATAAGATGGTTGCGCAGCAAGTCGGTACTGGCCCGCCCGTCGGGGCCCACCACCTGCTGATGCCAATATTTGCCAGCGACCTCATGCGGAACGAACTGCGGATGATTGACCAGCGGGGAGTTGGCGGAGGGGAGCGACATGACGCCGATAATGGTGCTGGACGTCGACGCCATCGACATCCCGGGGCGGGAGACTTCCGGCGGCGGACTCACCATACCGCCGTTCTTCATGGCGCGTTTCTTCCGGCCTTCCCGGGCTCGCTGCCGGCATCATTATCCTCCGTATCTTGCAAGTCGAGCTGCTGCATCCCCTAGGTGAACGCGTACACCTCGCCGTTCCACAGGTCGCCACCGCCGGGAGGCAGTTCCGCCGCACCACCCGGCGTCTGGTGATCCTGGTAGACCGCCAGCGCCACGTCCAGATCCGGCAACGGTCCGTTCATGGAAATGTCGCCCGCGGGCGGCGAAGACCGGGTGGCGGTCAGGCCGGAATTTTCATCTAGTGGCCACATGCGGGAAACAGCCTCCGCACTCTGTGATGCTGGAGGCGAAAAGAGTAGTGAAGAATTCATTTCCCTGACGGCAGAGGAATTGGTTACGTCGTTAGACTTGCCACCTGAGATCCTACACAACAATTAAAATTTAAGTACCACCGTTGTCCATGCCCAGTGGTACGATTAGCGTACCGCCTATCGGTGCGTCGATCCTTCCGAAGAGGAGCTGCGGAATCAAAGGTATCTTGACTCTTCTTCGGAACGAAAGGTCAATTATTTTTGCTTTCCAAGGGGTACGCTTGAGAGACAAGAGGAGAAAGTATTGAATCTGCTGTCAGGGCGGACGCCATGACTCCACCCTTTTGACTTGCTGTTGCTTTTTTGCTGTTTCTGTGGATTACCATCCTAGTCAAATCATGCTGTTTGACTGATCTGCAGCACATTCACACTGGCTGCAGAACCCGCTTTTTTAATACTGTAGATTGGTTTTGGTGTGCGACAACACCGCCAATAAAGTCGATGTTTCCACAAGTAGGTAAGTACTAAATCCTCGTATAATTCATTTTGTTATTTTACTGTGTTGAACGCTGTGCTTTTTTTATCAGTGAACGCTTAACACTATTGCCCATGAAAAGACGAAGATCAATAACTGGTGCTGGAGGAGACGGGCTAAAGCTGAGTTCACAGTTCACACCGACGCCGGTGCCATCGGATGTGAGCTGGTAGCAGACGCAGGATTCGACACTATGGCAGCGAATGAACTTGACCATTTTTTACTTACCTTAGGTTAACAAACTGTGAGAATTTAATTTAAATTCAGTAATGTGCTCACTGAATTTTATTATTTAACTAAAAGAATTATTAAATGAGGTTCGTCATGGGCCACGACGCTGTTGGCATCTCCGAGCAGCTGGTAAAATGACGTAGTGAAAGAGCAAGAATACATTAAATACTTTTACTGAAACAATTTTAAAAAATCATTGTTATTAATTAGGTAATGATTTATGTACTAATTAATTAATTAACCTGTAATTAATTTACTGGAAAGTTCTATGCGCACGGAAATTTTCCGGTCGCATAGCTAATTTGCTATGCGCCCGGAAAATTCCGGGCGCGTTGTGAAACGGGGTCTTTAAGTATTAATTACACGCACATTAACCTTCCTACAACAAAAATAAAAACAGAACTGAAGATTCCATATAGAAATGGATTATTAGGGATGAGAACGTATACATCTTTTCATTTTGGAGTTCTTAACTAGCTGTTTACGAGCACTTAGCGTAAATTATTTGTTATACAAAATTAGAAGTACAGAGTACTACAGTAGTACTGCACGTACTATTGGCGCGCAGAACTGACAGAAATGACCTTTGTAGGATTTTTTGGGCGGCTGCGAACACTATATTAATTCAGAATAATTTGTTTTAAAAATCTGTTAATAACAGTTACTGAGCTGTGCGACTGGAAAACGTCCGGTCAGCATTATGCTGTTTTTAAATGCGCTCAGTGCAACCGTACCGGAAGTTCAGAACTGCGATGATGTACAATACATGTTACCAACCTTCTGCGATATGCACATTCAACAAGCACATTCAAATTGTGGCGGAATTTCCGAGCGCACAGTAAACTGACTATGCGCCCGGAAAATTTCCGGCCGCATAGAAGTGACCTACTTTATTACGTAAATACTTTTGTAATCTGGAAAATTAAAATAAATTCAAATAAGTTAAAAATAAGGAAACCGTTATAGGCACCCCCTAAAACCCCCGTTTACTATAGGCACCCCTTTTCACACCCCGTTTATTATAGGCACCCTTTTTAATTTAATATAAAATATGTATATACATTGTATAACACATTTTGTATAACACATTTTAATTGTATTCTGAAATAGTAATGCAGTTTTATTCGGATAACAGCACAACAATTTTTTGCGACGCCGAGTTAAGTACATCAGGCTTTCCAGCCTACAATAGGACGGTTAGGCAAATCAGCCAGTCTAGAACGAATTAGTATCGCGTGTTCTACTGTGACCACAAGGTCATCTTTCGCGGTAGTCAGTTCATTAACTGCCTTCCTTCCAAGACGTTTAGGACATCGTTTTATTTTCTCAGCCAGTAACACTTCGGCCAACCATTCCCTTTGAGCAGAGGCTTTCGCGAATACAGTGCTCGCCGGCGATACTCCAGAGATCAGTTCAGCAATGTAAGAACACACCATCGGGCCGCATTGATTGGACCCCGGCAACTGAAGCTGGACAATCGGAAATACTACGGTGACCGGATTCTGTTTGCCACCGTACAGCATGGACAGCTGCAGTTGGACGTGCGGCGACAGCGGAGCATTCGAACTGTTTTCTCGGATGGCCTTTTAATTGTGTGACAGAAAATGGTTTGAGCCATACAGGGCCTGAATGCATTCCATTCCTGCCGCCAGATCATTCTGTATGCGCCTGACCTCCTCCGCGTCGGGATTGCAGATGGTAAGTCGCCTGGATCTGCGAGACCGGTAAACCGTCCTGGATTTCCTTTCTGACACAGCATACGAGCCCTAGAGCCGTTCTTTCTCTACAGTGCACGCATTCGTAAAAAACCTAGCTCCTACACCTCCATAGCTTGAATACAATATCTCGGGTCCTATATATAGTACTACGTATATTAATCAGTTTTTACGGTCATAGCAACTGTATAAAATGATAAAATTATTTTTGGAATATGTGAATTATATTCCTTTCACAGTTTCACATAATATTATTTTAACTTTTAATTCAAAAAGGGTGCCTATAATAAACGGGGTGTGAAAAGGGGTGCCTATAATAAACGCGGGTTTTAGGGGGTGCCTATAAGGGTACCCTAAAAATAAACCGTCACCCAGTAATTCGTCGTTTGTGAGAGTACTCAACATCAAACCTGTCTAAGCAGGGCGCAATCCGAGGGAAACCGAGAAACGGCTGAAAAAGGCGCCGATGGGGGAATCGAACCTCGGCTACGTCGTTAGATCCGCGTAGGCAGTACCACTGCACCACGGCGCAATACGTTGAAATCCTTTGAAAGATTTTGTCGCTGTACGTGAGCCGCTTCTCCGCTCACACCCCCTTTGCAGCTTTCGCTACGTCCTCGTAGCGAGACTAAGCGATCCTTTTAAGCGGCGGCTCCGGCTCACCGCATCCTCTATTCATCTTATCTTTTTATTCTTTTTTGCTCTGTTCCTCCTGTTCGAGGTTAGCACACCAGTCTCATACCATAGGTCCGTGATCGAACCACGATCTGCTACCATCTAAGCAGGGCGCAATCCGAGGGAAACCGAGAAACGGCTGAAAAAGGCGCCGATGGGGGAATCGAACCCCGGCTACGTCGTTAGATCCGCGTAGGCAGTACCACTGCACCACGGCGCAATACGTTGAAATCCTTTGAAAGATTTTGTCGCTTTACGTGAGCCGCTTCTCCGCTCACACCTGTATTCAACACGGATGTACAAAACGCATCGTACTTTGCATTTGGAGTAATTATTTTACTCTCACTCACGGTGAGTGTCACTCACGGTTATTTTACTCTCACTCACGGTAAACACAAAATCTGATCGGCCTTTCGAAGTGGTGAGTGACTCACCACTTCGAATGGCCGATCAGATTTTGTGTTTCACCTTATTGCATGGATCGGTGTCTACCGATACGTTAGTAACGTTACACAGAGGAGAAACGAATTTCAGGTTTGTATTTCAGGTTCGAAATATGTTTCTTATCTGCGTGACGTGACATGGCGCTTATTAATTCTTTAGCCCAGCAATGGCGCTGAAACTGCCCCAGAAATCCCGGCCATGCCAAACCAGTTTCCAACGTTTGCGTTTTGTGGCGGTAACCAAACAGGGCAGAGGAAAATCATGTAATTTCGTCCAAATGGAAGAACCATGTGTAGAGGCCAGCGAAAAAGGTTCAAAGCCTTAATGACCCGAATCGTCGTTCCAAGCCCGCCGTTCCTGGAAGGAAGACAATTATTCAGTACTTATATTGATTGAATTTTTTGCTCTGAATGACGATCAAGGCAGCGACCGCGGTAAAAAACTATCAAACACTGAAATTCATTCAAATGCTTTGCGGGCACACAGATCATGCAAGCGTATTAATTTTTTATTATTTTCAAATGAACCGGCGTATTAAAAATTCCAGTGCAAGCAAAACTAACATTTTATCAATTTCTTACGTGCTCGCCCATGCAAATGTGAAATGTATTGACTATTGTAGATAAACGCGGATAGACAGAAAATAACAATACTGTATTACACATATTTGTAAACGAAAGTTTTATTTTTTTTCGGATTTTTGAAAAATTTTTTATCAAATTACAGTACGAGTATTAATATAAATTACAATAAATCATCCGGGGGAGGCCTTCAGGATAAGTGCCGATGAGGTAACAGGGCCACTTCCGTAACAGATAGGCAGACGGACAGGCATTTTTTCAGTTCAGCTGAATTAGAGGGCTTCAGCCAAGGACGGTATCTAACGGGTACCCGTTAAATACTGCCCTTGCTTCAGCTGCGCTCAACCAAAAAGTTTTCCAGTAATTTGGTGAGATATCTCCGCTAGTGGAGTCTGGCTACTATAGCGCGATAAAATCGATAATAACAAATAACAACACTAAACGGTCACTTTGACTTTGCCTTACAAGCATTACCACGAACAACAAAAGTGCTCTTATAGAACCAACAACCTAATAACCTGAACCGCCCCTTCGTTGACTTGTCTTGTCTCTGCCAACCGTGAACATACACTGCAGGGTGCAACGACCGGGGCAAACACCACACATACAACTTACTGAACTTAGACTGAACGGTCGCACGCTCTCATACAATACAGTAGTATAATAGAAAGCATACTATGAAGAAACCGCCACACAGTAAACCGTCGTTTGTGAGTGTCCTCAACATTAAACCTGTATTTAAACATGGATGTACAAATTTAAAAAACGTATTGTACTTAATAATCGGTGTAATTACATATACTTTAGTATCCCTTACCATCCATGCAAGATGCTGAAAGACAAAATCGGAATTTCCAGACTGAAAATTGGGATTTCGTTTTTCTGCTTCTTGCATGGACTGGTGTTAACAGACGCAAATGAAAAAACACATTTCAGGTTTGTGTTCGAAATTTGTTTCTTATTTGCGTGACGTGACATGGCGCTTATTTAATCTTTAGCGCCACAATGCCGCTGCAGCTGTCCCAGAAATCCCACAACCTGAGCTAACCATGCCAAACCAAGTGGAGGAACTAGGCGTGGAGGACAGCGAAAAAGATTCAAAAAAGCCTGAGTGACCCGAATCGTAGTTCCAAACCCGCCGTTCCTGGAAAGAAGATAATTATTCCAGTACTCGTACGTATTCCGTACATGCTCATACACAGGATTTAGATCGACTATTTTTGTTGAAATTTTAACATTTTATTTAGAACTATATCCCATGTTTCAAGTTTAAACATCTGAAAACAGCGAAGGTATTTCATAATTCTTCGGTAGAAGCTTAACTTCCGGCATGGCCCCTGAAATTGTGTGTCACTACATGTACTTAAATTTTCGTTCGCTCCAGCTGAGAATATGGTTGTTATCGTCGCACCGCTCGTATCTTTCTGTGCAAATAGCAAATTTCACGTTCTTTTGATGAGG